GAGGTGAGCCTTAGGTGGGCTCGGCTCGGCGAGCTTCAGGCTAAGTCTGATGTTCTGACGAAGTCCAGTCTTGCAGACGGACTTCAGAACATAACTTGCTGCGAAGAACAGGTCATAACTTTCAAACCGTAAGTCGGAATTGGGCGAATTATATATAAAAATCGGCTATCTCGACGAGACGGAGCCATCCGAACCAAGCCGAAGGATTTGGTTTGCTTCCTCCGTTTCGCCAAATTCCTTACGGTTTGAGAGATATCTGCATTCTAATATGAAGAGACCGTCAATTTGTAGTCTCTTTTGCTAGAGCTTTGCACATATCGTCCTCTTGTAATCTTCGTCTTGGCTCCTTGAAAATATGAGAGTCGTCAGATTATAACTCCCGATGTTGATTGTGAAGGCTGTTGAATTGGGGCTTTCATTAGTTGTTGTGAAGGTCGTCAGATTGTAACATTCTACGTGAAAGTCCTCAAATTGTAGCCTTCTGGAAGTCGTCAGATTGTTACTTCCATCATCGGTGTTTGATGAGGGATCAACTATCTATTGTAATTTTTAGACAGCCTACAGGTTTCCTATTGTATTCATTGAGTTTTGGGTAGCTTGAAGGAGAGTTTTGAGCACAGAAAAGAGAGTTCTTTCTAAGCAATTTATTTGAGGATTTTTGTGAGAGATTTGAAGGTTTAGTTTGAGAGATTATTTGTGAGCTTTTGAGTGATCTTGTAAACTTTATTTTGTACTCGCTTACTTTATAGTGAAAACTCATCCCCTTCTTACCCCTTGGACGTAGGCAATTTACCGAACAACGTTAAACTTCTGTGTTTGAGTTGTGCTATTATTAGTTGATTTGTGTGCATTCTCTCTCGAAAAATTTGTGAATCCTCAGAACACGCTCATTACTCCCAACAAGTGGTATCAGAGCTTCAGGGTATGCTTGGAGTTAGGTGGAGGAGTAGATTACTTTGAAAGCTCGTCTAGGGTTTCAATTGGAGATAAATGTGTGATCTTTTCAGTAAAGAATTTATCTTTTCTAAGTTTGGATCTATTCTTCAGTTTGTTCTTCATTGGTTGTTGGTGTTTTGTGGAAGATGTCTGGGAAAGAAGGTGTTGAGGGTGGTGCTTATAACGTGAGACCATTCAGAGTTTTAATATCCACTCTACGAAGATAGATGTGGAGAAGTTCAATGACACAAACAATTTTAGATTATAGAGATGTGAGTTTTTGAATGCGCTGAATGCGCAAAATTTAGAGGATACTTTGGAATTGGATGACAAATCAGATGATATAGAAGAGAAGGTTTGGAAGAAAATGAATCGAACGACGTGTGGTGTTATTAGGTTTGATTTAACGCAGAATCTAAAGTATGATGTGATGAATGAGACTTCTGTAAAGAATATTTGGAAGATTTTTGAAAGCAAGTATATGACTTAGAGTGTTGAGAACCACTTGCATTTGAAGATGAGACTTTATCATTTCCAGTTGAAGAAGAAAATCTTAATTAGTGATCACATGAACAACTACACAAAGCTTCTTGTGGATCTGACGAATGTGGATGTTATTATAGAGGATGAGGACAATGCATTATTATTGTTGAGTTCATTACCAAATGAGGAATATGAGATATTTGTTCTTACCCTAATTAATGGGAAGACGTCCCTTTCGTATAGTGAGGTAACCACTGCTCTTGTGAATTACCAACTAAGAAAGAAAGATAATGAGTCTACAAGTGATACACTAGCAAAGGCATTGATCGCAAGAGGGAAGAATCCAAACTGGAAGAATGGGAAGTCACAGTCTAGAGTAGGGTATCCTACAGTTGGCAAAGATCAGTGTGTTTGGTATAAATAGACTGGTCATTAGAAGAAAGAATGTCCAAAGCTCAGTGAATGGATGAAGAACAAGCACAAGGGAAAGGGAAAGCAACCATCATAAGAAGCAAACATCGTCATATCAGATGATAATCTTTCTGACTCATCTATTTATTCACTTTCTATCAGTCTCATAGTTGACTATTCAGAGGAATCTGAGTGGATGTTGGATAGTGGTGTAACTTATCATGTGTGTCCTAAAAATGAATAGTTCTCCAGTTTTAAGAAGCTGGATAGTGGTATGGTATACATGTGTGATAACCATGCATGCCAGATCCTTGGGATAGGTGAAATTTGCATCAAGATGTTTGATGGGATGGTTAGAGAATTATATCGAGCGAGATATGTTCATTCTTTGAGAAAGAACTTGATCTCGATTGGAGCTTTAGTTGGAGAGGGTATGAAAGTTCGTATTGATGACATGGTTCTCGAGATTGTGGAAGAATCTTTAATTGTGAGAAAGGACGTCAGGAATAATAACATGTACTATTTGATTGGAAATACGGTGACAGGTGGAGAGCTGGCGACTTCTATTAATTCGACTAGACTACGACATTTGAAGCTTGGTCATTCCAGTATTGATTTGGAGAAAGATGCATCGACCTGCAGTTTGAAGTCCATCGACCATTTTGATGTGAGCAAGAAGATCAAGGTGAAATTTAGAACATTTATTCACCGAGCTAAGGGTCTTTTCGATGGAGTTCACTTGGGCATTTGGGGGGCTTCCTAGGAGGCACATTGGGAGGTAATAGATATTTGGTTTTCTTTGTTGATGACTGTTCTAGGCATGTTTAGGTTGTAACTAAGTTCCATTTGAGTGAAGTCCTAGTAGTCTACAACATGTTGAAGAAGTGTAAGAAAGACAGAAGTATGGAGATACTCCGTTCTGATTTTAGTGAGAAGTACAAGAGGGATCCATTTTTGTATTCGTGCCGAGCTTAAGGCAATTGGAGACACTTCATTGGAGAGGAAATCTTGGGGCAACTGGATGGGGTGGAAAAGTTAGAGAACCGTGTCTTGCTGGAGAAGGATCGTTATTTGTGATCAAGCAATAGTTTGCATAAGAGTTTTTGGACTGAGTCTTCGACATATTCGAGTCACCTTATTAAAGGGTTGCCAACTGTTGTGATAGGAGGTAAAACTCAATTGGAAGTTTGGTCTGGGAATGTTATTTTTGATGAGGCTTCAATGATGGAGCCAATTGACTCTCAGCAGGTAGAGAGTTTGGGACATATTATAGATGTATCGCAGCGGGTGGAGAGTGATGCTACTTCACATTGGGTGAAGACTATTCCACATACTTCAGATCATTCTGCATTGATTGGAATTTTAGCTGGGGTGACAAAAATTGGAGATATTGTTGATGGTGATACAGATGATGAGTTTGGGGATCATGAACTTGATGTTCAGGATCATGATTCGATTGCAGCAGGTGTTATCAGTTGCAAATTTGTTAGCGTTGATGATCGAGATGTTGGTGAAGGATTAAAAATTCTTCTAGTTGATTGAGGCCGTTTGCGATCATTTAGGTGAACTACGTGAGACTTGATTCCTTAGGTAAAAGGATACGTAGGTAGTCAGTTTTGATGCAGCCGATTTGTTGGGTTGATACCGATGATTTTAGAGTTTGTTCGCATTCTCATTTGGGTTCCCAACTTGTTGTGGATTGAGTCTTTTATCGTGAATTGTTTTACTTCATACTGGAAGCACAAGTGGGACATTTGGTTTGGTTGGTGTCAGCTCAGTTTTGGGAAAACTTTGTCGAGGTAGAGAATTGTAGAAACGGCGAATACATTGACGATGTTTAGGAAATTTGAAGTTGAGAACATTTTGAGCGCTATACGATCGACCGCCGAGTTCATCACGGTCGGCCGCAAACGTGCATGAGTACATGATAATTTCTGGAGTTCTGGTTGGCCGCGAGGTTAGGTCCAATCGACTGCCAAACCCTGTAATGGTTTTCTGGATTCTGTCGTTCTGTTCGGTCGACCGCGAGCTTTGGCACGGTCGACCGCGAGTCGGGTCTGGGCCTGCTTCAGTTTCCTGCACTGTTTGGGATCTCTATTTAATATAAATAGAATCACAATTTGTTTAGGGTTTCTTATTGTATTGATTGAGTTTTGGGGTAGCTTGAAGGAGAGTTTTGATCACAGAAAAAAGAGTTCTTTCTGAGCAATTTGTTTGAGGATTTTTGTGAGAGATTTGAGGGTTTAGTTTGAGAGATTATTTGTGAGCTTTTGAGTAATATTGTAATCTCTATTTTGTACTCTCTTTCTTTATAGTGAAAACTCATCCCCTTCTTGCCCCGTGGATGTAGACAATTTGCCGAACCACGTTAAACTTTTGTGTTTGAGTTTGTGCTATTATTAGTTGATTTGTGTGTCTTCTCTCTCGGCAAATTTGTGAATCCTCACAACACGCTCAGTACTCCCAACATCCTTGTCCTGAAATCTTCAGTTTTTAAAACACTACAACAAATTGCACTTTTCTCAACGCTTATTCCCGACGCATGGTTAAAAACGTCGGCAAAAATTATGTTTTTCCCGACGCTTTTAATTAGCGTAGGCAAAAAATATATTTTTCCCGACGTTTATAATTAGCGTCGCTAAAAGTGTATATTATTAGCGACGTTTTAACTTAGCGTCGGTAAAAGTTATGGATTTCCCGACGTTTTTTTATTTTCGTAGGCAAATGTATAGTTTTTTAGCGACGTTGTAGGATTAGCGTCGCTAATAATATGTATTTATCGTGACGTATTAGGCTAACGTCGCTAAAAGTGTTTTTTTCCTGACGTATCTGCTTGGCGTCGCTAAAAATGTATTTTTTACGACGCTTCTTCACTTGTCCGCGTCGCCAAAACCCACCGCCCCGCCCCGGAATTTTCCAACTCGTATAAGGAGGGAAAATTCCCCCCTTTTATTTTCACGAAGAACCAAAACCCCCAACCCCGCTCTCTCTCTCGTCAGAAAATCACCCCCAAACCCTTCTTCTCCGAAGTTCGCCGCCTTCGTCGAAGCTTACCGCCGCCGTCGTCGGAGATCTCCGCCTCCGTCGAATTTCACTGCCGCCTCCGTCAGATCAGCAGCATTAGCTTCAAGAATCCCCGCCGTCTTCTCCTCCTCCCTCCGATCAACCCCCCACCGATCTCACCTCCGACTCCCTTCAAGAATCTCCCTCCACCGTCCGATCTCGCTCCGAACCCGAACGCTAACCCTAGCCTCCGCCGCAGGCTCCGATCAAGCTCCGATGGTATTTATACTATTCTCTTTTTAATTCGTTAAATTGGAGGCGTTCTGTAAATAAATTGCTGTTTTTAATATATCATAGGGCTCGCAATCTCAATCGTTCTTTAGATCGGCGCTCTCGAGCATGGAGAAAGTTTACTTGACTAGGAATCCGACTGCAAAATCTGTCCTTGAATCTGTGAGCTCGTCTGATGGCAGTCCTGTGTGTTACGATCACTTCGCTTTCCGAACATTTGGGGTAAATGATGCAATTTTGTTTTTTTCCCCCGCTTGATTCTATTACTGTTATACTATGTATTTTTTTTCTCTAAATTTTGAAGGTAGATGGCCATGGGATTGATTCCATTGCGTCATTCTTCTTGGATTTTGGTTATACTCAACGAGATGAACTGAGGTTTTTCCAGCGAAAAAAGCTGAGAGCTTTGTGGTTTGCTGCTCCTGAGACTGAGTACAGTAACAAATGTAGCTTGCCTTTGCCTAGGATTTTTATATCGGAGCTTCTTGTGGATGAGTTGAATTCTCAAAGTCAGGTACTTACTCTCAACAAGTGCAGATTGTTTGCAATTTCAGTTTCTAATTTCCTATTTTTCTGTTCAATAATGGCAATTACTTATGCATGCAGGAAATAATTAGAAAATATGTTAAGATTTCTGGAATATTAGGTGTGTGTTTTTATATAAACTTATAATAAACAAGTACAATTCATTCTACACTTTTTCCATAATAGGCTAGCATCTGTATCGCCTTGCTCACGCTGTTTCAAACTATAACAAAGTTCTAATGGAGAACAGAAAGCTGTACAATCAAGTGCAAGATCTTAAAGGTGAACTTCCCAACATTTAAATGATAAGGCGTTAGGTTATTTACCCATTTTTAGTACTAACTTCTTTTTGAAATCATTAGGAAGTATTAGGGTATACTGTCGAGTTAGACCCTTTCTACAGGGGCAATTGAGTAGTAACACTGTCAGTTGTATTGAAGATGGAAGTACTACAATTATCAACCCTTCAAAATATGGCAAAGAAGGGCACAGGTCTTTTAACTTCAATAAAGTGTTTGGTCCATCTGCATCCCAAGGTAAAAGATGCCTACTACTATTTCAACTTCAGTTCTTCTGAGGATAATAAGTTGTTAATTAATGCCATCACAACTTGTTTATACTGCAGAGGAGGTTTTCTTGTACACCCAACCTTTAATTCGCTCAGTTCTTGATGGTTCCAACGTATGCATATTTGCTTACAGACAAACTGGATCAGGAAAAACCTATACTATGGTAGGAAAAACGTGTAATTTTATTTTAAGAATGTCATGTTTGCAACATAAATAAACGTGTAATTTTCTTGGACAGTTGCTGGAATGTTTTTGAAGTATCTGTGCATCAGAGCACATACATATTGATATTTGTTTATTTATTTGGTTTTGGGACTATTGCTTTATTTATGTTCTTGTATTCCTGGACCTTCCTTCATGTTTGAGGGTGAATGATTTTTGCCACCCTAAAGTATAGTAATTTGTTTCCCAATGTCCATCATCAAGTTGTTATTCTGATAAAGAAAATCCATTTTTGTCTATTTAGAGAGCTGTGCAAGGATCTCTTTAAGAAATGGTCGTCCCTTGACAGTTCTTGCTTCTCCCTTGAGACTGTCTCTGGTGGTATTACCAATCAATGTAAGCTTTTTTATTCCATATATTACTATTTCTTTTCGACAGTTCGACCTTTTTGATGATAATATCATTCATGTACTCTAAAATTTTATGTTACATCAAGCAAAAATTTTATTGACCTCTTATTTTGGATTATAATTTTTCAAATTTTGTTTGAATGTTTTGACCATATCTCTGTGCTTTCTAATGTTTCCACAGTGGCTTTCTGGATCTCTAATTGCATTTTCCTTTGGTTCACATGTTGCATGCACATATCTGTGGTGCAAAATATTTTATTGAATCACTCACTTTAATGATAGCTCATTGTTAATTCTTGCAGTGTTGAAGGTCTTTGTGACAGAAGCCAATGACCATGATGTGGTTTTGACTTGGTGATTGATCGTGAGCGAGAGCTGCAGGTGGGTCCTTGCAATTTATTTCTTCAAAAGTTTGATGTGAGAAATCTACAAATTTCATACTAAGACTTTTTTACTTGTGTATTGTTGATTCTGTTGCAGTATATGTGACTGTTCTTGTGAACTATGATCATTTTTTATGATACATGCTTATTTTTTCTGTTTATTTTTCCTAAACAATAATTTATTAATCATCTATTTTCTTCCTATAAGTAAAATTGTATTGGAGTGATATGAGAAAAAGACATGTAGGAAGTAATATTCTGTTTTATATTTTATCTGCTATTTTCATATGAGAAAAAGACCCTGTGAATCTCAAGATTTTACCGCTTTGACTGACATCACTACAACAAATTACACTTTTCCCAACGCTTATTCCCGACGCATGGTTAAATACGTCGCATATTTGAAAATAGCCTGAATGATAATCCTGATCATCAGTTAACTTGATTGGATTTTGATGTGTAATTGTATGCACTTTTTATTTGGTGATATAACTCTAAATGAAGTCTGGAGCATTGATTGTATTGCAAAAACCCTTGATGTGAAATACTCAAGTTTGTCGGGTCTTAGACACAGAGTCAGCGGAAGAGTATCACTCTGCTTGTGAGCACTCTATATGTGCACTTTTCCTAGCTGGCAAATGCATTTCATCTGATAGTAGTCTGGTATGGGAATTTTGTGAGAAGACCTTGATAGAGTGCTTGCGGTCCTATTAAAAGGTAATGAAGAGGTACCTAATTGTTGCATGCCAAACAGAAAACTTCTCCCCTCTTTATTTTGCAGACAAGGTGATAATTAGTGAAATTGCTATTACGTCTGATAATTACTGAATGTTGAACTAGATTGTTGCTCTTGTTTTTCTACTAAGTATATGATGTTATGATGAGTTTATACTTGCTAGTTTAAAACAATGATAATGATATCTGAAAAGACTAGGAAAAGTGGAAGAAGGCACCAAAATCAGTTATTGAGCTACAGTCTACAAGGATTATGTCATGATCCTTGTGGCACTGCGATTATTTTTTACTAGTTTTGGTCTATACATCTTCTGAAGGTCCACCTTGTTATCACTAGAATTTTTGAATCATAATTTTTTTTACCTTTGCGGTTAGTGGTGGAATTGTTCATTTAAAATCATCTATATTCAAGTGTTTTTCTGATTTATGATATCAACGTAGATACCAGTTTTTTGTGATTTATTTATAGAACATGGTATATCATTCAAAAAGTTGGAGTGTAAATCTCCTTTTTGTTGTGTATATTTTTACTCTTGTTTAACTTTGCTACCTGATTTAGCATTAAGTTTATGTTAGTAAATATGATTGAGTTTTGAAAATTGAAACTATTTGAATTGAAATGTAGGTGATTGTTGTAGTTTACCTTTTTGTTGTGTATAAATGTAGGTGATTGAGCTTTGATATATTTTTCTACTGGTTCTGTTTAGTTGGTGCATGCTCCATCCTCTGTTGGTTCTGTTTAGTCAAATATTGGTATTGGAGGATTGTACATGATGTGTCTACTTGTTTCTTTTATGAAGTTTGGTGTAGGCAATTGAGAGATTCAGTTTTTTGTGCTGATTTTGGATCCCAAACTAATCCACATTTTAAACTTTTAGAATTTATGTTATTGCAAAATTTCAAACTTCCTGCTTGTTAGTAATGACAATTTCAAACTTTTAGAATTTCAAACTTCCTTCCCAAGAGGCTCCTTCATTTTTTTTTTGTTTGAAGAACTATGTATAAAAAAATCCTTTATTTAATTTCCTGAAGAGAATTGCGTTCTAATAGCTTCCTTTTACCTTTTCTAGTTGAGCCAATCCATGAGTACCATAGCAGTAGCATTTGACACAGGGAGATCAATTATTGACAGGTAGAGGACCCCTTTTTTCAACCCAGCAGCATATCGACAGGTAGAGGACTTTTCACTTGAATGGTGGGAGGTTGTGAAGACGGCTTCATGGCAAATATTAGTGTCCAAAAAAACCTATCACTTGTGACTCAGATGAGAACTGTAGTATTTAGCTACAAATTAACTAAAGGAAAATATGTCGATTGCAAGAGGTGTGAGAATACTGGATATCAAATTGTAGAGAAACTAAGGTATATGTATTTTAGGTACTCAAACTGCAATTGAACTTTCACAATAGACCAATGATTGGCCAATGTACCTACATCATTGTATACTTAGATATGCAACTAATTTTTATTACCAACTGGCCATCATATAATTAGAAATCCTAAAATGGTGTATTTGAAATCGTGTCTATAGGATTTACAGGTATTTGCATCAAAGATCTTTTGTGAAATTTTTACACTCGCATTCACGGCTATTTTTTGATGCTGCTTTATTCTTGTTATGCAGGAAAATGGATTTGATTATCTTGGAAGCAGAGAGAAACTTGTCATGAGGTTACAAGCAAACTGGAATATTTAAACAGTTGTTTTCTTCTTTTTTTTTTCTTTCACATTTTTCTCTCTTTCCATTGTGTTTCTTTTTTCCCTTCATGGATTACAAGCAAACTGGAATATGTAAATAGACCTCTCTCTTTCCATTGTGTTTCTTTTTTCCCTTCATGGATTACAAGCAAACTGGAATATGTAAATAGACCTTTGAGTGTTGACTTGGAAATAGAAATGAATGTATCTATTTTGCAATGAGAGCAAATTCTTTCTTTATCTTAATTTGCAACTTGTTTGGAGTATAATTTGATGTCTAGTTTCTTTGTTGATGTAAATGAGAGTAAATTTTTTGTGGATGTTCAGGTTCAGTGTAGGCTAAAAAGCGCCACTAAAATTAATACTTTTGTCGACGCTATATTGCGTCGCAAAAAAAAAACTTTTAGCGACGTTATTTTGTGTTGCCAAAGATATAGTTTTTAGCGACGCTTCATTTTGCGTCGCTAAAAGCTACACTTTTGCCGACGCTAACTTGCGTCGCTAAAAGTATAATTTTTAGCGACGAACAGTTTTGCGTCGCTAAAAGCTATACTTTTGCCGACGCATTAGCTTTTTCCGACGCTGCATGCGTCGCCAAAAGTACAAGTTTTACCGACGCACTTTTGCATATGAAAAAATTATGCATACTTTTGCCGACGCAAAATACTATGCGTCGCTAAAAGATGTACTTTTCCCGACGCATGAAGCGTCGCCAAAAGTGGTTACTTTTACCGACGCAGTGTGTTTGCGTCGCTAAATATTTTCCTTGACGCACTTTTGGTGACGCGTTAGCGACGCTGCATTTTGCGTCGGGAAAGATTTTTCCCGACGTTTTTTAAACTTTTGCCGACGTTTTTGTTTCGTCGGCAATGATGTATTTTGTTGTAGTGAAAAAATATCCTCAAATCAACAAATCATCAACTTCAACTAGCTAACTTGTGATTGCAGTGTAAAATATCACCAACAATAGTCAAAACCAAGTTGTTGATTTGTTAATTTACGATTTTTTTTCCTTTCAAAGTGGATGCTTTGGGTATAGTTTTGCAATACACATGATTTAAGGGGTATATACACAAAGTAACCTTTTCTAAAGGAAAGATATACTGATATTGCTTAAGGGTTTATGTGCATTGATTTTTGGTTGTAGATAATTGAATACATCCTGTGTTTTTCTTCCTCCTCCTAATCATAGATTCTATCACGGGGTTAATTTCAGAAAACCCCCCGAACCAATAACTAGGTATTTGGAATGATGGTAGGTTAGCGGTTTTAGCTAGGGCTGAGCATGGTTCGGTCCAAACCGAAAAAACCGATCGAACTGACCCGAACCGATCCGAAAAAATCGGTTTTATGAGTAGGGCGGTTCGGGTCGGTTTGAAAACTTTACTGACCCGAACCGATCCGAAAAAATCGGTTTTATGAGTAGGGCGGTTCGGGTCGGTTTGAAAACTTTTCGACCCTAACCGACCCGAACCGACCGAATATAGTGCAATACTACCCATTCTGATCTCAAACCCTACCCGACCCGTCCCCAAAGAGTCAAAGACTCAAACCCTAAACTCATTTTCTGAATCATTATAGGTTGAAAACAATATCATTATATCAGTGTTTAATGTTTCATAATCTCCTACTTTGTTGATATCTTTTTTTCTTTAACACAGTTTGTTGTTTGATAAGAAGTTTGATGAAGTTAGAACCGAACAAACCGAACCGAACTACACCGAACCGACTTGCAACAGTTCGGTTCGGTTTTGAATTATAGGCTGTTCGGTTCGGTTGTTCAAAATTTCCGAACCGACTTGCAACAGTTCGGTTCGGTTTTGAATTATAGGCTGTTCGGTTCGGTTGTTCAAAATTTGGTAAAAACC